CATCGTGCGCGCCGCGCGCAGCCGGGTCCCGCGCCCGACGACCCCGGGCAAGCGGCCGTGCGACGACGACGACAGCAGCGGCAAGACGAAGCTGCAGGCCCTGACCACCACCACCAGCACCGACGAGATTGACGGCGTCACGCTCAAGCCCCAGCCGCACGCCCGCCGCCTCACCACCACCGCCGCGTCGTGCATCGTCGTCGTCGGCGCCGACGCCCAGCCCGCCAACCTGCAGCACGGCGCCATCACCCGCAAGTTCTACAGCAAGAACGAGCCGCCCATGAGCGTGCGGCAGTACCTGGCGCGCCTGCACCAGTTCTGCCCCATGAGCGCCGCCGTGTACCTCGCCGCGTCGCTGTACATTCACCGCCTGGCCGTCGAGGAGCGCTCGCTGCCCGTGACGCGCCGAAACGCGCACCGTCTCGTGCTCGCCGCCCTGCGCGTCGCCATGAAGGCCCTCGAGGACCTCGCCTACCCGCACGCCAAGTTTGCCCGCGTCGGCGGCGTCAGCGAGACGGAGCTGGCGAGGCTCGAGATTTCCTTTTGCTTCCTCGCAGGCTTCGAGCTCGTTGTTAGCGAGGAGATGCTGCGCGCTCACTGCGATGTGCTCCGCGAGGAGGGCCGCGAGCGCAGGCCGGAGAGGAAACCGACAACTGGAGGGTAGGTGTGGAAATTCCAAGGGGGTTTTAATGTTTTTTTAGTATACTTTTCTTCATACGGCTCATGAGGCATGATGGGCTTGGTTTGATGGGGAGAAAAATCCTCACGTGGCTCATGATGAGGTTGTTTCTGGATACTTGTTCATATGGGATGATGGCGTGCATTCACAGCATTGGACTGGTTGAGGCGATTCTATACCCAGGGATATTAATACGATAATTGGCATGTCATTTATTGACTTTGATACTCGGGCATGTTGAATCGATGTTGCATGTCGTGAATTATGTCACGACATTGACTTTTCCATACCTGGCGATACTCTATTCGACGACAAAAAAGGTGAAAAAAGTAAAACGTACAAGGATAAAAGAGCAACCGAAAAACAAGAGCAAGCTAAAGAAAAACCAATTGACAGCCCTTGCAAACTCTAAAGCACAACCAGAGGCCTGTCTGTATTCGACCACTCAGTACATGGCTTGTGAAATTGGCTTTGCAACTTGTGCGCCAGTAAAGTGAAATATATCAACTTTGCAATTGATACAGAATATTCGAAGTTACTCGTAAACCTTGCCGTAATACGCAAACCTTGCCATAATACGCAAACCTTGTAGAATAGTTTGCCTATATAACACTCTGAGCCCTCAATCTGAGCCATCCAGTCAAAGACAAGACCAACTTCAAGGACAACACACAACTCCAAGAAAAAGACACAAAATCAAAGTCAAGACACAACTCCAAGAACAACACAACTCCAAGCAACACAACTCTAAGAACAAAGCAACTCTAAGAACAACACAACTCTAAGAACAAAGCAACTCTAAGAACAACACAACTCTAAGGACAATACAACTCTAAGAACAATACAACTCCAAGAACAACACAACTTTTCAATTCTCTCCACTACTCCGTCAATACTCCGACTCTCAACACCTAGACTCCATCTCTCAATTCCCAATCCTTCCAATCATGTCAACCACGCCTCCCACCATGCCAACGACCATGTCCATCGCCATCATGACGGTAGCCATGGCCTCCGACAGCGCCGACCAGCGGGCCTCGCAGTTCCACGCCTCGTTTCGCTGCTTCGAGTACCTCTACACGCACGACTACTCCTCCTCGCCGTCGTCAGCGCTCGCGGACATTGGCATCCCCGACGACGACGCGCTGATGCGGCACGTGCGCGTCTACCAGACCGCGCGCTTCCTCGGCGTGCCGCACCTCATGCAGCTCGCCACCGAGAAGCTCGCCGCCGTCGTCGACAGCGAGCTGCTCGACGGCCGCTTCCTCGACGTCATCCGCGCCGTCTACCACCCCGCGTACGCACCACCCGACGACGCCTGCCTCATGCGCGAGACCGTCGTCGAGCTCGCCGTCGCCTACAGCGATGACATGGGCCCGGCCCTGCAGGAGCTGCTGCAGGAGCGCAGCCTCACGTTTGATGTGGCCAGGTTCGAGTCCGACTTGTTGCAGTTTTTATTGGGAGGCCGCCAAGCGCCGTGAACCAGATGGTTTCCAGATGCGGCGCAGGTCAACTTGTACTCATAGCTCATTATGGTTGCAAAGCATAGAGGCAAAATGGGGGTCTTGTTTCCGAGATTTCCGATGGAGAGTTTCTTAGGCTGGATTTTTTTTTAATTCTGGATAATTTACGCTTATTTCCCCGCACCCCGTCCCTTTGTTCATTTGTGCCTGAAGAAAACCCCGCCAACTGCCGTAGCTCGGAGCCGGCTAACCCCACAGTGGCGGGGAGGCGTTCGGGACCTGTCTCGGCCCATGAAGTATTTGGAAGCCTCCCCATTAGGTACAGAGGCCTAGTGTATAAAGAGGAGCTGCAGGAACACCACTACTTGATTCCATCCCGTCTTGCATCCCCAAACATCCCATCCTTCTCTCACCAACAGCCCATCATGTATACAGCGTCGAGCGCCTTCTTTGACGCCATCTGGGAGGCCGGCGTCACCCACTGCTTTGTCAACCTCGGCTCCGACCACCCTAGCTTCATCGACGCCATGGTCAAGGGTCAGCGCGAGAACAAGGACACGTTTCCCCGCATCATCACCTGTCCCAACGAGGTAACCCCCCTCCCCTCTACCAAAACATCACTCGCTCACCCGCGCCCTAGATGGTCGCCATGTCCATGGCCGACGGGTACGCCCGTCTGACCGGGAAACCGCAGTGCGTCATCATCCACGTCGACGTCGGCACGCAGGCGCTCGGCGCGGCCGTGCACAACGCGTCGTCGGGCCGCGCGCCGGTGCTCCTGTTCGCGGGGCTCTCGCCCTTTACGCTCGACGGGGAGCACCGCGGCAGCCGCACCGAGTACATCCACTGGCTGCAGGACGTGCCGGACCAGCGCGCCATTGTCGCGCAGTACTGCCGGTACGCGGGCGAGATCAAGACGGGCGCCAACGTCAAGCAGCTCGTCAACCGCGCGCTGCAGTTCGCCGTCTCGGACCCCCAGGGCCCCGCGTACCTCTGCGGCGCGCGCGAGATCATGGAGGCCGACGTCGCGCCCTACGCCCTGCGCCAGGCCGACTGGTCGCCCATTGCGCTCGGCGGGCTGCCGCGCGGCGCTGCCGCCACCATCGCCGCCGCCCTCGCCGCCGCCGCCCGGCCCCTCGTCATCACCGGCTACGGCGGCCGCAAGCACGCCTTCGCCCCCGCGCTCGTGCGCCTCGCCGACGCCCTGCCCGCGCTGCAGGTGCTCGACACCGGCGGCAGCGACATGTGCTTCCCCGCGGACCACGCCGCGTGGACGGGCATGCGGTTCGGCGTCGAGCCGTGCATCGAGGCCGCCGACGCCATCCTCGTCATCGACTGCGACGTGCCGTGGATCCCGACGCGCTGCAAGCCGCGCGCCGACGCCGTCGTCTACCACATCGACGTCGACCCGCTCAAGCAGGTCATGCCCGTGGCGTACATCCCCGCGCGGGCGCGCTTCCGCGCCGACGCCGTGCAGGCGCTGGAGCAGATTCTCGAGAGCCCCGCGCTGCGGCAGCCATCGGCAGGCCACGACGCGGGCGCCCAGGCAGCGCGCGTCCAGGAGGAGTACAGGGCGCGGATCGAGCGGATCGAGCAGGCTGCGCAGCCGCAGGCGGATGGGAGGTTCGGCGCCGGCCACCTGTGCAGCCAGCTGCGCGCGCTGTGCCCGGAGGACACCATCTGGGCCGTCGAGGCCGTGACCAACACGCCGTTTGTGCACGACAATATCCGGCCGACGCGGCCCGGGTCGTGGATCAACTGCGGCGGGGGCGGGCTCGGGTGGTCCGGCGGCGGCGCGCTGGGCATCAAGCTGGCGACGGATGCGGAGAGCGGCGGGCGCGGCAAGTTTGTGGTGCAGATTGTGGGCGACGGCACGTACATGTTCTCGGTGCCGAGCAGCGTGTACTGGATCTCGATGCGGTACAAGATCCCCATCCTGACCATTGTGCTGAATAACAACGGTATGTTTGTGATTTGCGACGAGGGAGGATAGAGAGGGCAAGCTAACATTGACAGGATGGAATGCGCCGCGGCAGTCGTATAACCTGGTGCATCCGGACGGGCTGGCGCAGACGGCGTCGAATGACGAGATTAACATTGCGTTCAACCCGACGCCCGACTATGCAGGCATCGCAAAGGCCGCGGGGTGCGGCGACATCTTTGCAGGGCGCGTGAGCGAGGCCAAGGAGCTGCTAGGAGTGCTGCAGGAGGCCATTGACCATGTCAAGGCGGGAAAGTCGGCGGTGTTGGACTGTGCTGTGGTGTTTGGCTGCTGATAGACGGGATGGAGACTCGAGAGGATACAAGGTCACAGACAGCTGGTAGCGTGTAAATCGCCAATATATTAGGGCCTACTCTCTATTTTCGCCAGTTCCCAGTTCACATCCGCGAGAAATTCCTGGCTATTCCAGGACGTGATACAGCCCTCCCAGTATGGATCGTGTCGATGCTTAGACTGGCTTTCCTCATTGTAAATCCAAACAGCATTCGCATTCTTACTCCCTAGGCGCCGCTTCTTACGACCAGCCTCCTCCGCTTGGTCTGGAATAGAGGACATGTCTATTCCTAGTCCTGGCGGCCTTGCCCGCTTTGAGGGGTCTCCGGGTACCTGTGGCGAATCTTTGCCTCCGAACATCGCTCTGGGGATGTTGGGAATGTGAGATCCAGACTCAAATGCCGAGATGGTTTCTGAGGCCGCCGATCTCAACATCGCTTCAGAAGCTTCTGATAAAGGCATCTGAGCAGCCATATTCTCAATACAGCACATCTCGTAGTGGTGACGTAACGCTTTGCGATTGACGATAGAAGGTAGTTTGGCGAGAGTGCCATGGTATTCTAACAGGACGTCGTATGGCATAAAGACACGAACCCGTAGCGTCTGAGGATGAATAGAAAACAGTCGGGCATCGAATAGCTGATGGAGATGGGTAAGTAATATAATACCATTTTCAGCTGCCCAAGTACGATCCCAGGCCGCGCGCAGCCGCCGCGGACTGTATCTATTATTGCCGAAGGGAATCGGGACGGGATAGACATGGGAATGCTGCTGCGGCACGATATGGCATACTTGCACAGCTGGGCCGACAGTTGGGTTCATATACCATGATCGACCTTTGCCTGTAACTGCACACGTTGTACTAGCGGCGAGGCATGAAGTGCGGAAGGCTGCCATGGTTCGACGAGCGTCATCGGGGGAAATATCGAATAAAAGCGAGCTGACCATATCTGTGACGTCTTCGCCCCCCCCTCCGTCGGTATCAGGTTGCGAGTCCTTGTTTGGTGAGACGAAGCCGGACGCGGAGCGTTTTGAGGAGCTTTGGGAACCGCCAGTGGGATGCGTTCTTTTTCGATATGGTGACCGAGCAAAGCGCGGGTCCCTGGATCCCTTATTCGGAGGAAGGTATCGTTCGTCTCGGCGGAGGGAAGGATAGGGTATATGCTGAGCACATCCAGCTAGACCGTATACTTGTTAGCTATATACCGGCCACTGATAAAACATAAGAACCAATATACCTTGTAAATGGGCTATGAACGGTTCCTCAGGACCAAGCCCACATTCTGCATGTCGCACAATATGCAACTGGACTATAGAAGGCTGTATAATATCGGAGGATGAATCACATAACGGTGTAGTGATAAATCCATCAAGATATTGGCCCGAGATCATTTGGGGAGAGGAGATTGACGTAGTAGAAGAATCGTCCTTGACCGGCTGCAACGAGCCATCAGTAGAGCCTCCATACCCGAATGCGATATTTGCCCATGCATCACTGCTCTCGTTGTCTTCTGCTCCATCGCTGATTGGAATATTGAAGCAAAGCCGCAGCTCGTTCACAATGTCGTGATAAGTCAAGCTGGTACTGCCAGGCGGATGGAACAGACCTGCGAATCGGTCACCTTCAGGGCCACAAAGAATATGAACGTTCCATCCAAGGGTACGGAACTGCGGCGTTACTACAGCACTAAACATAATGTTAAGCTGCGCGATAGTAGATGCGGGTTATAATCGTGCTTTTGAAATTTTGGTGTTTATTAGAAAGGTGTCCTCGTGTTGTGAGTTAAGTGGAGTTCACCATGTGCACAGCAGCAAGAGACCCACAATGGCAGAAAGCCAGAAAGGGCGAGCGGTGTGCGAATAAGTGAGTTCAGGATCCAGAGGCGCCGGATACGCCAAAGGCGTACAAGATCGGGCCGAGAAACAGGTATAATAAGGGAGAGATTTCCCCTCCTAATTGAAGGAGTAAGGCAAAAACAATTACAAGTTCGAATACAAAATATTTTTGACTCCTCTGCGCAAAATTGCTCTCAGTCGTGACTAGTTATCTGATGACCCCATCAGCCTGCTTACATAATTCACGAGATCTAGTAATGTCACTGCGAGTAACCAAGTGTATTGTTATAGACAGACTATTCACATGACTACCATTCTTTTTCTTCCGGCTAGTCAAAAAATACTTGCTAATAGTCATTGAAAGATTACAGATGCAGGGATGAATGCTGTCGCGGGAGTTATGTACATGTATTAAGTCATATACCAAGGATGCGCATGTCGTGATTCTTTAGGACTCTCATTACATCGTGACTCCGTCGTGCCTTGGCACTAACTCGCGTCTGTACGTCTGTGCGATGCACACCACTGTCAAGCCGTCACTGTCCACCGGCCACTGTCAAACCGGCACCCACCGTCGCCAATACGCCATCACTCAGCCGGATCGATGCTTTGCGGGTTGCGAAACACGCTCGTCGGATCGAATCGCTTCTTGAGCTCGCGCAGCTTGGGCAGCTTGTCGCCCCAGTAAAACTGCTGGGCGGCGGTGCGGTCGAGGTTGGCGTTGATGTAGCCGGCATAGGTGGTGTGGGCATTCGGCGCGCCCTTTTGCACGCGTGCCTGCACGCCGTCGACAAACTGGACCATCTTGTCCGAGACGCCGAGCAGGCCGACCGAGTAGGACTGGTACATGATAACCTTGTCGCGGTGGGGGTAGGCGGTCGCGTTGTCGGGCACGTCGGAAATCGCACCGCCCTCGTTGTCGAATATGACAAACCAGAGCGGCGTGTCGGCGTCGGCCTGGCCCATGTAGCGGAAGAGTTCGTCGATAGACTGTTCGCTGAGGAGATCCTGTGGGCGCAGCGCGAGCGAACGGCTGACAAACTTGCTGGCGACGTTGGAAAGGAACAAGCCCGTCTTCTCGGCTATGTGGGCGAGGCTGCCGAGCCAGTCCATTACGGTGACGTGGACGGGTCCGGCGGGCAGCTTGTCGGGGATGCCGCTGGCCTTGTACTCGTCGAGGGTGCCGTAAAAGGTGCCGGTGATGAGCACGCCGAGCGGCTGGACGATGAAGAGCGAAGTGAAGCGGCGGTCGAGATCGGGGTTTCCGACGAGGTCCTGCCACTTTTTGTACACGGGCGCCATGTCGGCCTGCTTGCCAAAGCTCACGCTGTACGTGTACTCGACGACGCTGCCGGGGGCCGCTTCGGTGCGCACGACGAACTCGGTGATGATGCCGAAGCTGGCGCCGGCGCCCTGGAGGCCCCAAAAGAGGTCGGGGTTCTTTGTCTTGGAGGCGCGCTGGATGGCGCCGTCGGCGGTGACGACCTGGACCTCGATGACGTGGTCGAGGGCGGTGCCCCAGATGCGGGAGGAGGGGCCGATGCCACCCTGATTTGTTAGTGGTTGCTTTATTCACAAACATTGTTATTCGGGGTGACATACAATGGTCGCGTGGCCACCGATGCCGACGCCGGGACATGTGCCGTGGGCCATGGCGCGGTTGCCGTTGGCGTGGAGGTGTTTGTCGAGCTCGCCAAGGAGGAAGCCGGAGCCAAACGTGGCCTGCCAGGTGGTCTCATCCATGGAAAAGTGCGTGAGATGCTGGAGGTCAATCATGAGGCCGCCATCGCCGCCGCCGAGGCCGAAGTTGCTGCGCCATGTTAGCTGGGGCGCAACGCACGTCCTGCTCGTGGTCCTGCTCTTACGCGTAGGAGTGGCCGCCCGACTTGGCCTGAACGTGGTAGCCGTGAGCGACGGCGCACTTGACGGCAGCGGCCACGTCCTCGGTCGTCGTGGGCCGGATAACGGCGGCCGGGGTGACGGGGACGGCGAGGTTGTAGGGCTTGACCCAGTTGGCCTGGTAGAGGACGGCGCCGCTGTAGGCGACACAGTCGGCACGGCCAGCGCAGACGGCGTTGAGGCAGGAGGCGATGGGATTGCTGGGTGTGTTACCCATGGTGGTGGACTGAACGGGCTGGAGTGCTCAGGCGCTGGTGCAAGATGGTGCTTGGGCGGGCAGAATCGAGTCAAACGCGGTGCGGCGCTGCAGGACAGGACCAAGATCAGAGGTCGAGGCGGTTGCTGCGGGTCGGGGGTCGCAGCTTCATATATAGGGACATATAAGGTGACTAGCATGGGATGGGGTCCCAGTTGCTAGCGTCTGGATGCTAGACACAGTCGATCAATAATGAGGCATCGGGTATTAAGACATGACTGTGCATCACAAGGAGGAGGGGCTGTCAGAGGCGGTGGGCTTTGGCGGGCCGTCATGTTGCGCAGGCGCACGCGAGAGGACGGCGTGGACACATGCATGCCGAATTTCGATTCATGGGGAGTGTGCAGCTGATGGTGTTGCGACATTGTCTCGCTCATGTTGGCTAGTTGCTTGGAAGGCATATTGGGTTGGCAGATGAATCATTCATTGGTCAGGGGGTCGAGGGACCAGGGGCAGAGTAGACTGTGGAGGCGGCCGATTTCGTCGTGATTGGTCCGATGATCTTTGGCGTGGCGGCGGACTGTCGAATCAGGACATCAGACGCCTGCAGTTACAATTTAGAATTACAAGGGACGGACAGCCAAGATACATATGTGGCTAGGATCACAATAGCATGCGCGCTAATGCACGTCCGTATTCTTGCACAGTCTAGTGTCGCTGGTGAAGAACGGTGTGTCCGACGACAAGGGCAGCGTTAAGCTGACCTACAGGTACATATGCTTACCTAACAGCGATACACGAATACGAGGTGATGCCACAATTGCATTTCAATTTCATCCCATCATCAAATAATCTACTCTTTATATATAACCACCACATCCTTCTCCACCGTGGCGACGACTTGGTCATTATCGTCCCTGACTTGACCCGTGCAAACATATCTCTTGAAGCCTCTTGTAGAAATGTTCTGTTTGGAAGTCAGTAACCACAAAGAGCAAATCCAAATGGCGAACGGTGAACTCACATTAAGAAACATTTCATCAATTTCCTCCAGCGTACGGTCCTTGGTTTCTGGAACATCGAAAAAGACCCAGAGCCAACCCAAAACTGTCACACCTCCAAATATAAAGCCCAGTTTGACGCCAATGTTGGCATACTGCGGATTCACGAGGTACGGAGCTCCGCACGCAATCAGCATGGCCGACAGCCAGTTGACCGTGGTTGACATGGACAGCGTCTTGGATCGCAGACCGTTGGAGGGGATTTCTGTGAGCACGGTGATGGGGAGCGGACCCCAGCTTGCCGAGTATGCGAACAAGTAGATGCAGACACATGCCACGAGGAGATTGGCGGCCGCGAGGCTGTTTGGCTTCGCTGTGCCGACAATGGCAAACAGGAGCATCGATATGCCACAGACAGCACTGCCCATCAGGAGCAGTAGTCGTCGCCCAACTGTCCGCACAAGAGGGAACGCAGCAATGGACCCGCCGAGGCCACAGCAGCTGGTGATGACGGTTGTGAGGAACGGCTGCTTGATGCCGGATAGTGCGAAAAATAATGTTCCGTATCTAGGCGACGGGAAGAAACATTGTCAGCTAATGTGAGCCAGGATACAATCTTGCGAAAGACGAGCCCGCAAAGCTGCACCGGCTGCTGTCTTCAAGAAATGCTGCTAGTTGGGGACAAGAATACGTACCCTGCGATGAAAGATATGCCAGTGAAGGACTGAAAAACAACAAAGATCAAACTGATGCGGGTGCGCCTGAGATCTGTATTCCGAAAGCAATCCCGATACGTGGTGGAGCCTTCCAAGCTGCACTCAAGCTCATACATTGCTGACATTTCGCGGATCTCGCTTTCCAGCTCCTCTTCGGGCCACGTTGAACCTCGTAGATCGCGGAGGGCTTGAAGAGCATCGTCGGGGCGACCCCGAGTAATATACCATCCTGACACGGAGAGGTGAGATTGTCAATCATTGGATGCACTAGCCTGCCGTGAGAAGGTGTAGTGATACTCACTTGGTGTTTCGGGCAGCAGAGGAATGAGACACAGCATGATAAATGGCGCAATCATCATGACTACGACAGGGGCTCTCCAGGCCCATTTACTGCTGAGGCCATGCACACCTTGGATGATACTGGCGCCGAGGAAGGCTGTCAAATTGACCAGGCCCTGGTAGAGCATGCTAAGCGGACAGACTGTCAGCCAAATGATGCGACGGTAGTAACACGGACAAGGAAAAGCAAAAAAACTTGCGTTATCAATCCTCGATGCTTTGCCAAGGCGACTTCACTCCAGTAGGTTCCGCAAAAGTTGGCAGCAAAGCCGATGCCAGCGCCACTGAGAACGCGCCCAAAGATCATGACGCCCATATTCGGCGCGACGACCTGGACCAGGGGACCGATCAGGGACGTGCCGGCGCAGCAGTACAATCCGGCCTTGCGACCATACCTCGTGCCTACGGGGCCGGAGAGGACGCTGGCGACGATGGCGCCGACGAGCAGCAGCCCAAACAAGAGCGTCTGGCCCGAGGCGGTGATGATGTACTGGCCGGTGAGCGCATCGACGGACCCAAAGTCGCGCTGGAACCGTGGGATCACAATGGTGCCCGAGATGGCCGCTTGGTCGAAGCCAAAGAGCACCGGGCCGAGCGCGACGACGAAGCAGTAGCTAACCGTTCTTCGGTGGCTGCGGGACCACGGGTCGCCGACGGCGATGGACTGCGACATGGCTAGAGTGGCAAGGGCAATTGAAGGCTAGAAGAAAGCGGACTTGCAGTCAGGCCACAAGAAGATGGAATAACAAATGATGAAAGAATTGTGGAATATTCTCCTGTAAACATTGGACAAGAGCTGCGCCTGGTATATAAGCTGCTTCACTTGCTGGAACGCGGGGTATCGCTCTTCTATGGAGAATCGGCAGCACAGGTGGGGTCGTCTGCTTTTAATACTCGAGACAAACAAGGCTGAACTGAATTCCGGACATTAGATTGCTGTCTGGCAAGGCTGCTCGATCCTGGGGTGCCGCCCGCCTTCACACGGTACTCCGGGCGTCAATGCCGACCAACACGGTGATTATGTGGTGGCGTATCTGCTGACGCTATTAACAACGCCAACCGCGGGCGCTGCCCCTGAATGAAGGTGAGGGGATATGCGGCAGCACAATTGGCGGAATGCACCGACTGTTGAGTCTCCGTCTTGACGGGGGTTTCGACTCCATCTGCCTTGACCCCGAGATCCTTTCCTCACACATTGAGGACTTGACATGATGATGAAAGAGAGATTGCAGCTCATGGTACACAATTCAGAAAAATTGATACGAAATTACACATCAGCGCTGACACGATTGTGCAACCCGTGGTCCGCAGCCTGTCCCATCTGCTGCCCCGAACTTACAGCTTACGCATCACGTCAAACATGGAAAAAGAGCAAAGTCATAGCCTCGGTGTCAGCGCCCATCTCAGATTATCCAAAATAAGTAAAAGATTTGTAGACGCTCCATGTTGTTCTCGTTCCTGCCCCATCCGTGACAGTCATCTTGTTCTCGTTCCTCTCCCCTCCATAGCAGTGGAAGCTACCACCGTCATCAGACATGACCGCAAACGTCATTGCATCTAAATTACTCTAAAGTTATAATTGATGGCATCCCTCCAACCCTTCTCAAACAGCTGCCTAGGACTCGCCCACCCTTGACGATGCCCCGACCCCTTCGACTGGTAGATGCTTTTGGATCAGCTCTGGATTCCAACAAAGTTCCTTTCCTCGTAGAAATTGCCCCAATCTCGCTTCCGTATTGACCAGTGATTCCCAGCGCGGCGGCTCCTGTTGACGGATTTGGATTGTCGTCCCGCCACAAAAGCGAGCCACATGGTCGTCGGGTCGGGCAACGCGTGGCCAGAGTTGGTTGTCGTACGCCAGGTCTAGTACCGCACCGCTAAAGGCACGCGAGGTTGCACGAACCCGAGAGTCGGCTGTCGGTTCTGTTACGGCAGGAAAGTAAAAGAAGAAGGCATTATCCAACGAGTGGTACGCATGGTTTCTGAGCCGCGCGTCGGTCGCAATCGTGTCTGGTTGCTCGAAGCTATACAGATAGACATCGGCCGCACGCGCTGGCGGACCCGTGGTCTTTGAAGGATTGTTGCTTTTGAACTGTGCTTCGGCGATAGAGCGGACAGCCTTGTCGAATATCGCATCGTTGAGGTAGTTCACGAGGGCGTCGGCGACATGAGAGTTCCCTGCAGACGGGGTGGCACCATTTGCACGATCCACATCGACCACACCATACGTGGAAAACACCTCGTCGGAGTAGCCGGGCAGAGTATATACGCTCTTCCAGGCTTTCAACAAGCTGTTGGGAGGCAGGTCTTTCCATGCACTGCCCATGAGCGCAAGCTCCTCGCTCAGTTGGCCAACCACGACGCGATTCGCCCAGTCCGGAAACACAGATACCTCATCAAACTCACCGCTGGGCCAGTTATCAAAAAATATGGGATCCGTCGACAACGTGTTCTCCAGTCTGTTCTCGCCTAGCTTGTCAAGCTGCTCAAAAGGCAGCTGTCTGAGCGTTTTGAGCTTGTTGCTCACACTTTCGTGAGCGATACCCAGTGTCTCGCACGCCTTGTCAAAAGTAACCTGTGTGCTTGCAAAAGGGCGCGGTGCTACCGTGGCAGGAGACAAGAGCATTGCGTTGCGGGCCACGGGGTCGTGGCTGCGAAGATGGGCAAGAACCGAAATGGCACCAGCCGACTCCCCGGCGACTGTAATCCGGGCTTTGTCACCGCCAAAGAAGTGAATGTTGTCTTGAACCTACAGGACGAGCATTAAAAAATGACATGCTTTGAGTGTGTGTAGAGGGCAGCGCGCTAGAAAGAGACACGATACAGAAGAAGACGAGTCTCAATTGGTCGAGTGACTTACCCAATGTAGTGCCAGTCTCTGGTCATGGAAGCCAAGGTTGGCATAGCCCTTTTCACCGCGATCGCGAGCTTCTTGGCGCAGTTCTTTCGAGGTGAAGAAGCCCAACATGCCCAGCCGATAGTTGATGCCAACGACGAGCACAGGTTGGTTGGCCTGAATGGAACGGGCAACAAGATACTGTCCATCTGAAATTGAGAGATTTCATCAGATATTGAATTCAATTTTGACAAATTTTTAAGGACAATATGCAACACAGCTTTGGAGCTTTGCATGAGACATACCACATTCGCATCCACCATCTCCCCAGCGAAATGAGCCGCCATGAATCCACACAATTACTGGCAGCAGCGTAGAAGAATCACGATGCTCTGCGGTACTTGGTAGCGCAGTTGCAGGCGCATAGACATTCAAGTTGAGGCACTTGAACTCGTCGGTAGGGTCCATGTGGGAGAGACGCGGATATAAATGGCCTGTGAGCGTGTGCATGACATCGATGAACTGCGGCGGCCGCGGGCCCCATTGCACCGTTTCGAGCTCCCCGCGAGGATAGTCCTTCAAATTGAGAGGTACAGCCTCATGCCACCTGCCTGGTATTTTCGCATACTGGAGATTGCGGAAGCTGGCGACTGCGGCTTGGTCCGGTAGCAGTGGCTGCGAGAGCAACCCGTTGAGTGTCAGGTCTTCAACGGTGAGGCGTACTGGCGAGTAAATGGACGACTTGGGAGCGATTTCCGAGCCCTCGAGGACAACGCATGAACAAGTGGCCATGATTTCGTGACAGAGGTGCTGAATGCGGTGCCTTGCGTCGCTGGGCTAAAGAGGGACTATAAATTGGACGCATATTAAACATGGACGCAGAATCATATTATACAATGGCAATTGCAATGGAAATGCGACTTTTACTGGTCGGGAGAGTCTTGAACACAGGGTCCGAATTGCACGCGGAGCTCCGAGTGATTGATAGACGAGACCAACAAAACGTCGGAGCCTGATTCGGAAGCCTCCGCCACCACACGCCAACCTAACGCCAGCCACTTTCTAACCGGCGGTCAGTCTATTTCCACTCGGCGGAGCGCTCCGGCAGGCACGGCTGGTGTACTAAGAGCGCTGTCATGCCGGAATGGCAATGTGTTGTCACATCCTTTGACAACGGGTATGTATGTAACCGTCGCCCAAGTACTACGGCTGGCCACTTGTTCTGTAAAACACGCCGAGGCAATAAAACATTAAAGATACTATGGAAGTATATTTGCTCTTCGTGCTAACAAACTACCTCTTCAGCTACTTGTTGGCGTGATGTACCTCCCAGAACGGGTCGTCCGTCGAGTCCGTATGCCGCGCATACTCCTGCGTCGTCGCAATTTCCTCCGCCACATCGCGCCCATACAGCTTCGCCACCATCTCGAGCATCGCGTCCATGCCGGCCGACACGCCGGACGCGGACCAGATCTTGTCGCCCTCGACCCAGCGCGCGCGCTCGACCCATACCGCGTCGGGGCTGCCCTCGCTCGCCGCCTCGACGACCCAGCCAAACTTGGACTTGTTGGTCGTGGCGCGCTCGCCGTTGAGCAGCCCCGCGCGGGCGACGACCACGACGCCCGTGCAAATCGTCAGCACGAGGCGCACGTCGGGGAACCGCCGCCGGATAAAGTCCACGGCCGGCTGGATCGTCGCGCGCGTGCGCGTGCCCTGCCCGCCCGGGATGAGCACCACGTCGAGCGCGGCCGGCGCGGTGGCAAAGGTGTGCGTCGGCAGCACCTTTTGCTCCGTCGTCTGCTGCGCGTCTGGCGCCGCCGTCGTCACGGGGTCCAGCGTCGCGGCGAGCAGCGCGAGCGACAGCCCCGGCGAGGAGGGGCTGCGCCGCGACAGGATGCGCGAGAGGAGGTTGAGCGTGTCGATAGGCCCAAAGACATCGAGCGCTTGGAAGCCGTTGAACAGCACCATGGCGAACCGGGTTGGTGGTGCGGCGGCTTCGGGCGTTGCCGGCGTCGCGTCAGTGTTGGGAGCTTGTGTTGTCATGGTCGCTGAGCTATTTGAGGCTTGTAGCTAAGGAGTGGTTTTGAAATAGGTGTCTTGATACAGGCACGGGGAAAAGCAGACAGGGCATATATACAAGTGACGCGGGTAGCATCTTGACGACGCGAAGCGGTTCCGGAGGTGTAGTGGCGGATCCAGAACGGGAGCTAAAGAGGACTTTAGTTTAGGAGCCATTTCTGCCAAGACTACACGACTTGTCTCCGACGCTAATACAATGATTCCACCTCAGTCCCGGGTGGCCGGGAACACGGGAGTACGGGGAAGGGCGACATCCGAAACCCCGATGAAGAAGAAAACAGCGAGGCGGTAAGTGTTTGTATTTAGCATGGTAGCACAATTGGATTTAATTGCACAGTTGATTGCCCGTCCTCGGTAGGCACAACTGTTACTGTACCTGGGCCATCATCGCACAAGAATCATCGTCAACTAGAACAGACAGCAACCAACCACTACAGCTATCCTTTGAATCAATATATCGTACAGAGTAAGCTTGTTGACATATAATGTATATATCGGCAAACCAGGTTCTAGGGGCCCTTTTGGACCCTCCCCTCCTAATTTATCCCAACCAACCAACCAACTGAGCGGTCACGCGCCGGTTTACCGGTCCACGCCGACGCCTCAAACAACGCCTCGCAAACAACGCCCGTTGACGGCCCCACACGTGATCCTTTCCTTGGTCCTTGGGTTGGATGTTGGACGGCTCTCTCTCTGGTCGGAGTATGCGGTGGTGTCTCGTAAACCACTTCGTCCTCCGACACTGCGCACTCTGTGTTTCGTATAGCGTTGGCGGAACCAGGCCATGGTGACTAGCTCAAGGGACGGCAATGACGGCGCCGCGCCTGGGAAGCACGCGTGTCTGTTGTGCGGAAGACGCTTTGCTCGGAGGTTCGTCCCCGTGTCTCCCCGCTCGGCGCACTGGAATGCTGACCCATCGCTCTGAATCAGCGACTCGCTCAGGCGCCATGGTCGGACTCATGATGGCGCCCACAGAGCCCGGAAGAATAGGAAGCGCGCCTGTTTGGCTTGCGCGAGGTACGAGTTACAGCTACCCGGTCCCAAATGCAGTCGCTTGTCCCTGTTGTTGGGATGCCCTCACGGCACGTCGCTAACGTTTCTTCACCTTTGGCAATGATAGCTCAAAGACCAAGTGCAGCGAGGAGACGCCTTCCTGTGAGCGCTGCGATGCCAAAGGGCTAGCTTGTGAGTACGCAAGCGAAAACTTCCAGTTCCGCCGCCATGGCTCGGTCCTGGAGAGGCAGCCTCGGCAGACAGACGCTGCGACGGAAGAGCTTCTATCGGCCATCACAGGGCCAGCGCCTGTTACAATGACGGCGACGTTGTTCGAACCTTCATTCTCGGACGAGCAGGTCCTGGGTCACGACTTGCCTGTGGCACCAGCAGCCATGGGCTATTCTGAGGTCCTGCCGGATGATTCTGGAACCGTGAGACAACAACCAGAGCCAGCTTGGTGGTCACAGGCGGCCCTGGACCTCTTTATTGGAGTGGCAGACTTTTATCCAGCATACAGCAGTCCCTCGGCCTGGGCCTGGCAATCTCCAACTGACCCTCTCGACATAGCTACAGCGCCGCTCTCACCCATGGCATCTACAGCCACGGCCGCCGCCCCGTTCGGTTTCGCCTTTGACGCGGTCCCGCACGAGAGCGGCCTGCAGAGGCCAGACTCGCAGCTGTATAGCATGAATTCTACATGCGCCGCGACTACTTCTAACGAATCCAACGAGACGAAAAGTCACGAGGAATCCCAGTACGTGGTAGCCTCCGTGGGCAGACTGCCACCACCATCGTCTGGACTTGGGCAGCCTCCACGAGCGACGAAGAGTCTTCCGGCGTTGACCGGCGGACCAGACGTAACTATAGAGCCCTATCCTCTTCACTTTTCGCTGCCTTCAACTACACCTGCCACCCGCGAAAAATTGGAAAATTGCCTGCGACTGCCTTTAATGCAGAACCTATGGGCACACATGTCGATAGCGCAATTTCCGTCGGGGCCGCAACTCGACTACCTCGTTGATCTATATTTTGCCAACTTTGACATGGTATTCACCCCATCCGTAACAAGCTCTCTGTATTGTGTAAAAATACTGACATGGCTTTTGCAAGCTTCTGCCAATGATTCATCGACCTACGTTCGATTCGGGCACATATCCGATTCTGACCCTGTCCATGTGCGCCATCGGTGTTCTTTATTCCGGATTCGACAACGCGCACGGATTCAGCAAGGCACTCTGTGAGCTTTTGCGACGCTTGTTTGTATGCTTGGTACGTGTCATCGCTGCTGCGAATTTCACATATCGCTCGTGCCACGAAGAAATTAACATGCAGTCGTAGAGCGAACAGAACGCGATAGTGACGCGCAGTTACGAGTTCCTGGCGGCACAAACGCTGCAGTCGGTTCTAAGCAACAGCAGTAGCGGAAGACGCCTGTTTGAGTTTGGCGACAATAACCGGAGCTTTGTCGTTGCCAGCGCACGCGCGGCGGGCTTGTTTGCGACTCGCAGGCATAAAGCCGGAACAGGTCCGTATTCTGGAGCGGCAAGTGTACAGGAGCAGTGGATGGCATGGATACAAGCTGAGCGCTTGCGCCGTCTGGCGTGGTCAATATATGTGAGCAGTCCGAACATTGTTGGGCGAGTGTGTGTCTGGATCTGGGGGGCTGACAACTTTCATGCGGTCGTATCAAGATATTCGATGCATCAGCTACGTATTACCGAAACTGCAGGCCGCACCTGTCCTTGGCCGAGATGAACGTCGACATGCCGTCCTCGACCAGTCACTGGGAGGCCGAATCTTGGCGCGCCTGGGCGTCATTGCAGCCCTGGACCAACGGCGCACCTCCGAGAGACGCGCCCTTCCGAGAGACCTTGGACCGCCTCGTGGCGCGGCATTCAAACACTAACCCAGGGCTCAATGGCTCTCCCAACCCCTCGGCCACAGCAAACCCGCGCATGGCCGCGGAGAGTGAAGAAACGGAAGAATTCCACCTCATTCTCATGGCCACGACCTTGTTGCGCACAGTCTGGAACTACCGTCATCGGATGCAGTCGCAGCAATGTCCGGCTCCGATGCCCGAGCTGTTCACGCCCTCTGTCTCTGCCCACGACATGGACACGGCGCTGTCTCTGCTGACAAGTCTCGCAACCAGCACCCCGCTGCAATCTATCGCGCGTGCGTCCGGGGTTGAAATTCAGGATGCTGGCGTGCAGTCTTTTCACGGGCTCCGTGGCCTGCATGAGGAGCGGCGATATTTCGGCTTGGTGCACAGAACCAGAATCTCGCTCGTCGCGCAGATCATCGCTGCGGACCAGGTGAGCAGCCACCTGGATGCCGAATGGCATAGAGGAGCAGCGTCGGGAGACGGCCATGCGCGAGAGGTTGCGACAGAGCGGCTGCGTGCATGGGGAGAGGCACATCCCCTCGAAACCCGTCGCATGGCCCGGATCGGCGCCCAGCTGCTGGCCATCTCCAGGCTGTATCCATACCACATGCCGCGCGAGCCCTACGATGCGTTTCGCGCCGGGCTGCTGCTGTGGACCATGGCGCCTCTCATTCGAGCCGCCGCCCTGACAGCTTCCTCGCAAGCACCATCCGGACGCGCGGCCACCCCGCGACAAGTGTGCCAGCTAGACTGGCTCGGCGACCACGACACGCCCGAGGGCACCACTCTGCAAAACTGGATTGACCACGGCGGACACCGTTTTGTGCTTCGGATGCATGAGATACCCGACATATGCACAAGGCAGGGCAGTCGCCAGATTCTCGTCAGCACGTCAAAGGTGCTTCAGAAGCTCCATGTCTGGGGCGCTTCGGAGGTGTATCGGGATATTGTGCTGCGAGCCTTGCGCGAGGATGAAAGGGCGCACCTGGATGAGAATACGGCGGTAGGCACGTAGTTCTTCCAAGTCTGGGCTGTAGCTAGGATATGTAGCGCTTGGTTTTGTGGTGAATGCTGCGTCCCGTGTGTGTATCTTGAGTGCATTGCGCATGCGGCTGGACCAGACTAGCCAACTTGCCAAACCTAGAGATGTAGGCCAGCTAATACTCATGGTCGTGGAAATAGTCGATTCGACCGACTCCATCAGTATTATTCCTGTGACCTGGTGTTGTGACGACAAAAGCGGAATTCCGAGTGGCGGGAGAGGTGGTGTTTCGCGGGGCCGATGAAGGCTCGATGCGGATTGTGCCAGCCTCGATCCAGGTCTTACGACACGTGTGATTTTACAGGAAATAAATAAAAGATTGCTAGAGTAGTTGCTGATTTTGGAGGAATTAGCAATGGCCTTTTGTACCAAATCTGCGCTTTTGTCATGGGGTGATGCAAAGAGAGATGATGATGATGTATTGTGGAGGTTCTGGTACCCCACGGCTTTGCTGTTGTTACGAGCTGGCTGCACCCAGCATCTTCTGGAACAGAATGACCAGCGTGTACCTTTATGCATACAACCAAGAATAACACTGGTAGTATTGTTGCTATAAATTCTTTTACCTTCCGGGGGATTTTGGCCGTCAATGATGGCAGGTTGTCGCTGTTGCCTTGGCCAGCCCATGGCAAGTCCCCTATTTAAGGAAGAAGGAATCAACTATATAATATCAGTTACTAATATTAGAAATGTCTATCCGTAAGACATATTTGACAGGCTACATGGTATGCAATATGTATGTACTTGGACACCTAATAAATCACTGATTCCCTGACACCCTATCGCCTTATCGTGTTATCGATTTCTTCACCCCCTCCCTGTCTTGTCCCATCCATCCCTTCCTTCATCTCCTCATTCATCTGCTTCTCCTGCATAGTAATCGCACACTCCTGATACCGATGCCATCCAATCATCGCCCCCATCGACCGCCACACGCTGCAACCCGACGCACACCTCATCTCCTTCACGAACCAGTGCCCGCACTTCGTATTCGCTTCGTAACGTCGACCTCGAGCCATCATGTTCTGCAACCTGAAGCAACGAGCTGCGATGCCCATGGAAAAATTCAACCACTCGTGGCGCACAAACGAAAAAGCACACGCCCCAGACCATTATTTGTCCGAAAATCGATTCAATATAGCACCTGTTCCGCTAGCTTCTCCACACCTGTCCGAGGTTGGCGTCCGTTCACCGCGGTTCTCCATCAACAGATCGGTTCCCCAGTTCCTTTCCCAAGTTTCTTCCCTGGTTTGTTTCCCCGGTCTCTTCCCCAGTTTCGTTCCTCAGGAGCTAAGGACCCTGTCCTGTCCTGTCCCTGGTGAGATAACATCTAGCATCTTGCTGTCTTGAGAAACTGGCGTGATGCCATCCCCTGCTTTGCCTCATAAAAAGACCCTGAGCACCTGCCATGGTCCAATCCCCAAAGCTCGCGGGGTCATGGGCTACTGTTGAGTATACTCGAGATTGAGTTTCAACTCCATCACCATGTCACGAGATCAACCAGTAAATTCCTCACATATTTTTTTTAAATGCTTTCAGAAAACTCCAGCCCATGGCACGTAAGTGGAACTACATGATCTAGTAATACAAAAAGGGTCGCTGTCATTCCCCATCACAGTTTTGCGCCCACGATATCCAAGAAGCCCAATACAGAAACAAAACGCCCAAAGTTGCACAGATCCGAACATCCCAATAAATAAACAAAAATGCCTGCCAAAGTCCCAAATGCAAGCATCCCAAGATCAGATCGGTTGCGTCAGTCGCTCGAGCCTATTGCCAAGTGCGAGAAGTCCGGTTTACCAGCTGGTAGAGCCTGGTTCCCCAGTGGGAGTGGCGGGTTGGACATCAGTAGAAGAGCTGCTTCTGCTATCCCCATAGATATCTGACATGGCATCATCGGCGGGCTGCGGAAGTGAGCATATAGTACAGAATGGGTGCTGCTGGTCCTGCGTGCTGGGGCCAGCCTCCGCGGCCTGGCGGCTTTCCTGCACCTGCGCCCATTCCGCGTCCGTCTCGGGCCAGACATAGAACGCGCGGTTGGGATCCATGGGCGCCTGGTCCGCTGTCGGAGGGGGCTCGCTCGGCCCGGCGGCGCCGCTGCTGTTCCGTTCGGTGCACATGACGCGGCGCGACCTGACACTCGCGGCCCGCGCATCGCTGCGGTCGCGCGACTCCGAACGGCCGCGCGGATAGCCCCCCGCCCGCCGCCGCGGGTGCTGCTGCGCCGCGAACAGGGCCGCATTGGCGCGAGCGGCGGCCTGGTGCGCGTATACGCGGCTATCCTGGGCCTGCTGCACGAGGCGCTGCATGTCGGCCATCCGGCGGTGGCTGCGGCTCAGCATGTACTCGAGCGCGATGCGGCGGCCGGGCGAGTACGTGGGCAGCTGGAGCCCGGGCGAGCTGAGCTCGCTGGCCATGCCGGCCATGTGCTCGTGCATGCCGGCCACGAGCGCGTCCTGGCCCGACAGCAGCCACTCGGCGTGGCGGGTCTGCGCCGCGAGCTCGCTTTCGAGGCCGGCGACTTGCCTGCGCAGTGCGCGGATGCGGAGCGCGGTCGTGGGCGCGGCGTGTCTCGGCGACGACCGGAGGCGGAGCATGGCGTTTTCGCGCTCGAGTTGCTGCACGCGCGACTCGATCACGGCCACGCGGCTGGATGTGGCAGAGTCGAGGTCGGCGACTTGGCTCTGCACCGCGCGGAACTCGGCCTCGGGGACGGCGGCGTGTCGCTGCCACCATCTCCGTCTCTGTGCGCGGAGGGCGGCGTTGTCGCGCTCCACTCGGCGGAGACGCAACTCGAGCGAGGCCATGCCGTTGGGTGTGGAAAAGTCGACCACGGGCGTTACCGGGGGCGTTATTAACTGAATAGGGCCGTGGGACTGAAACTCGTCCATCTCGCTACTCTGGGCCGCGTCTGGATGCGACTGCTCGTCTTGGTTGTGGGACATTGTGACGTACTGAAGTATGGTGAGTATATTGTAGTCAGTTCGTTGATAACGGATGACTGTTGGGTGCGAGGAGAGTTGAAGACTGCTGTGGCGCTCAGTCAACGAGTACTGTAAGGATTCTGGGTCAAGACCAGACGGTTTGGTTGTAAACGGGAGGCTTTTGAGAATGGTGGGATGACAAAGTTGAAGAGTTGGGTGAGGTTGGATGAAACAAAAGCATGTCTAGGGACACAGCAATTTTATAACCTGCGAAAGAGAAAGAAGAGTTTGCAGAAAATAATATTATATTAGGTTTGCAAAGCATCTCGCTTTCTCAAGGCCATGAATATGCAAACCTTGTCTCGCGCTTCCCCATACCTGTCAACCTAACTGGGCCACTAGACGCGCTATGCGAACCACCATTCTACCATATTGGGCGGTAAACTTTTCAACACTGCAAAGTCTAAACCCATTTGGCGTACAGCTGCAACAATGTATTCAAAGTTTTCCTTGAGAAACCCCGCCGTCCAACTCTCCTCTGCCAGGCGTGCTATCTGCGGCACACTCTCCTGCGTCACCAGAGGATCCGCCCACGCCACCTCGACCTGACCCGACACAACCAGACTCCTAGCCAACGCAAGGCCTGGCGAGTTGGCTAGATGTGCCTGTCCCGCCTTGAAGCCCATGCCCACTACCAGCACTCTGGGGCGGTGGTGGCGGTGGTGGCTGGTGTGCCTTGTCACAGTGTCGAGGATGCGGCGGGCCTGGAGCGCCGGCCGCGCGCGCATCCTGTCCGTGGCGCTCTGCAGCAGCGGAAACTCGTCTGTGGAAAACAGATAAAAGGGGTTCACGGGGATGCAGTGGCCGCCGACGCCGAGACTCGGGGCAAAGGGCAGGTAGCCAAAGGGCTTGGTGGCGGCGGCGCGGCAGACCTCGAACGGGTCGATGCCGTGGCTGGCACAGGCGTCGGCCATCTCGTTGGCGTAGGCGATGCAGACCATGCGCTGGCAGTTCTCGTAGAGCTTCATCATCTCGGCCACCTCGGGGCGGGACACGCGCACGACGCTGTCAAACGCGACCTCGTAGAGCGCCGCGATGGCATCGCCCGAGCCCGGCACCACGTCGTCGAGCCCCGCGACGACCTTGGGGATGGCCCGCGCCGGTGGCTCGCTCCTCCCTGGGTCAACGCGCTCCGGGGACATGCCGGCGAAGAAGCCCCGTTCGGCGGCCAGTGGCCCAAGCAGGGCGCGCGTCATGCCCACGGCGACGGAGCTCTCGATGACGACGGTGCTTCCGCGGCGGGCGTGCCGCGCAACGACGGCCAGCGCTTGCCGGAGGTAGGACGAGTCGACCTGGAGGTCGGGCAGGAGCAGCGTCGGCACGGCGATGAGGAAGTGCGTGGCCGGGGCGAGGTCGCTGGGCTTGCTGGTGAAGACGGCGGCGCCGGTGTCGGTCGAGGAGCGCTGCAGCGTGGCGATGCGCGCGGCGGACACGTCAAAGCCGATGACGCGGCGGCCGCGGTCGGCAAAGGCGTGGACTAGGTGCTCGCCGACGTAGCCGACGCCAATGACGGCCACGGTCGGCTCCTGGCCGGGCCAGATGGGCGGGAGGTGCTGCACGTCCTCTTCCGGGTCGACAACCTCGCTTGGCGGCGTCTGGTCGTAGTAGGTGGCCATGGGGGCCGGCTCCGACACGGCATCTTCTCCGCCGTGGGATGTCATTGGAAGGCTCTGCATCGTGATTGGAGTCATCGTTTGCTGGTTTCGTTGCCTAATGTCGATCAACTGACCCAAAACAAGGACAAGTGCCCAGACCCCGGGCTGCACCGACTAACCGGCGCAATATATCTAGGCATGGACACGAACGCTCGACTACACCGGCCGTTTAATTGCAACGCATATCGCGCATATTCTCGCCGTTGTGAAGCCTTCATTTCGTCACGTCAATGTGATGTGTCCGTAGCACCGGCGCGGAGGTTCGCGTCCACCGCATATGAAAAATATACGAGCGACAGCTTGCCGCAAAGCAACGTCGTGCGACCCCAAGGTTTCAGTCGCCGCCGCGGTGCCAAAGTCGAACCATTCAGCAGTGTTTCGGATAGCAGCCCATTTTTCGTATTCAGGACTTGTCCCGTCTGCACCACGTTTGGCCCGTGCCGATATTGGCTGGGCAGAAGTGGCTGTCGGTAGATGCTGGATGCAGACATCAGCTGGTGATGATGTTGTCGCGACCACACCACATCGAGGCGGAATGTCTTTCCTCATGATATGGCCGGGATCTGAATGGGCAGAGGTGTTGAGTCTTAAACAGAGGCGTAGACGCTTTCGCTTTCGATGATTGATTTGCACGCTCAGCCTTTCTGCGAAAGCGCAAGGACAGTGTTCTCGAGTCGGGCTTGCATTCTGGATCGCGAATCCACGCAAAAGCAATCACTTCTGCGACTTTCCACACTCAGCTCACCATGAAGCCCGCCTTTGCCATTGTCTCAGGCCTGCTCGTCGTGGCAGCCGCGCACACGACACCTCGCGGCGTTGATGGCTTCCCTTTGCTACAGAAGCGTCAAGAGTGCGGTGCCGGTGTAGGATCTTGCGCCTCGGGACAGTGCTGCTCGGAGGGCGGATGGTGTGGCACAAGTCATGCCTATTGCGGTGGCTCCCAGTGCCAGATAGATTACTGCGACTCTTGCGATACCTTGTGAGAGAGCCTTGGATGGTGTCGAGATGCTGCTAACGCAGCCATCTAGCAAAGGGCCATCTGGGCCGTCCACCGGGAACCTGCCCCGCGATCAGATCGGCTCCGTTCCATATGGTTGGTCCATGCGAGTCCGTCTGGACCCCCGATTCTAATGTCTTGTTCCAGGCACAACCATCACGCGTTGCAAGTCACCCGGCATGATGGCACTCACCTTTGACGACGGCCCCGACGTGTACACGTCGCGGATTCTAGACATTTTAGACTCCTACAAGGCCAAAGCCACCTTCTTCATCGCCGGCAACAACAGGGACAAGGGGCCCATGGACGACCCCGCGCGGCCGTGGCCCCGCGTGCTCCGGCGCATGCACGACGCCGGCCATCACCTGGCCAGCCACACCTGGACGCACCGTAACCTCAACAAGGTCAACAGGACGATCCAGTACTCGGAGATGATCTACAACGAAATGGCCTTTGGCAACATCTTTGGCTGGGTGCCCACGTACATGCGGCCGCCGTACCTCGAGTGCAGCGCCGCGAGCGGGTGCACCGACCTGCTCCGCACGCTGGGCTACCACATCATCAACAGCAACATCGACACCAAGGACTACCTCAACGACGCGCCCGAGAACATCCACCTCTCCAAGGAGCGTTTCGAGCGGGCGCTGTCGTCGGACCCCTCGCGCAACAGCTACATTACGCTCGCGCACGATGTGCACTATGAGACCGTGGAGACGCTGACGGCCTACATGATTGAGTTGTCGCGGCGCCGCGGCTACAAGCTCGTCACCGTGGGCGAATGTCTGGGCGATCCCGTGTCCAACTGGTACCGAAAGGCGTCGAATGGGCCAAGATCGCCGACACCGACGACGACGCAAGCCCCGACATCGACCTCGTCGTGGTGCACGCCCCCGGCGACGACGGACCGCATCTCGCCCGACCAGACGTGCGGCGGCGGCAAGGGGTACACCTGCCAGGGATCGAAATATGGCAGCTGCTGCTCGTTTTACGGATTCTGGTAAGCCTACGAGACTGTGCCGGAGGTGCACCATGCGCGGGTGCGAGAAGGGATCGGGCTAACGGACCGTGTGTATGTGTGATGCAGTGGTTTCAGCGACATGTACTGCGGAACGGGCTGCGACGGCGACTTTGGGACGTGTAACAATGTGCCGCCGGGCACCAGCGACACCACCAACGGGCTCTGCGGGGCCAAGTTTTCCGCGACCTGTCTCAACTTTGGCAGCAAGACGTGCTGCTCGGAGAATGGCTTCTGGTAAGTGCCGAGCACGAGGATGCGCGAGGACACCGAGTGAGTGAGGCTGACGCAGAGACCAAGCGGCGATACGTCTGCGCACTGTGGCGCCGGATGCCAGAGCGACTTTGGTCGCTGCGACTAGGCTGGAATGGATACGAAGGAGAATGTGCGTATTGTGAATCTGGCAATCATGCGATTCGGGGGCGATGAGAATGCGTGACCAGTAATCAATCGTAGGCCAATACAAGACTGCCTGCTCATATTCGTATTCGGTGCCCCTGGGGTACCACGGAAGCAAGCCCCCGAACAATGGGAGGAGTCGCTGAAAATAAGCTCATGAACCAAACTTATTTTAGGGCCAAACCGGTCGACGCAACACCACAACCTCTTCCCATGCCAGGGCCAGGGAATCCGCGTCACACCGCGGATGCGAACCGCATACCGCGTTGCACGACGGACACGACATGCTGCTATAGACGGACCAGCGTTGGCTAACAAATGCCACGGATATGAAACGTGGCAGCTGGAAAAGCCGTCTGCAGCTCGCCAAGAGCGGTAGCACTGCTGCTGGCTGCCGGCTGTGGCACCACCCCTCCCCCTCCCGGCACGTTAGGCTTTGGAAGCTGAACCATTGTCTCTGATGTCATGTATTGTCCCCATGCAAATCCCTCCGAAATGCCTCATTTTGATATTCACCACTTGGCAGCGCGTGCAACAAGTCTGTTTAATACGACGTGTCACGCCCAAGCAGTCATCTCCGACAGCACGCCGCAGCCTGGGGGAGAAGGGGCTGTCTCGCGGAACCGAGCTGCAGGGCGCCGCGCCGTGAATCATGCCAGCTGCTTTGTGACACCCGTTCGGCGCGCAGAGCGTTTTTAGCATCCAGCCATGCCGTGTCATCGGTACATTGAGTCGCTGATTTCGGCATCTCTGAGTGAGAAAATGCCCGAGGGGTGAGCCCGCATCGCATCGTGGCTCGCTTCGAAGCGGTCCTGGTGGCGGCGGCCCCCGATACGGAGAGGGACGGGGTTATTTTACGGTCAGTGATGGCACAGTGTTTGCATGCTTCGCTTAGATGGCTGTTTGGTCGTGCGGGATGGGCAGAGGCAAATCTCGTAGGCCTCCTTAAAACCAGCCTCCGCCGTATTTTCCCGGCGCGCAAACTGCCTAGGCCTTGCGCTGCCACCATCGTCCACAAGTCAGAGTACTTTGTCTCGTACATGATGCAAGCAGACTCGAGAGAGGCGCAGCGATCGCTGGAGGAGGAAATCATTCAGGAGCTGAGTCCGCCGCAGCAGGCTGTGCTGGCGCCAGAGTCCGGGTCTCGCGCTTCGGTACGTGCCACAAAGACCTGTTGACGCCAAAGGAAGCTTGCTGACAAGATAGTCCATAAATCGACAAATATACGGAATTCTGCCGCCTGGTATTCGAACGCCGCAGACGACGGCCTCGTGGAACTCGCATGGCGCCGACTCGGACGCTTCCTTTAGCTCCGCCGTGCAGCAAGAAGAGGCCAAGCTGCGATGGGACGCCGACGAGGAGCTCAAGCGCATGTCCAAGACGCTGCTCCGCATGCAAAAATGGAGTCTCGTCACCGGGTTGGCCATTATCAACGGCGTGCTGATCTACGCCGCCCTCACGTTCTGGCAGGTCTACTACCTCTTCATCGTCCTTCTCAGCTCCAACACAGTTCTACAGGCTCTCATGATTGTGTGTATCGTCGGCACCTTAATCTGGAACAAGCTCTTCTGCGGCTGCCGGACGCGCAAGGACAACGTGCCAGACGAGCCGGAAAAGATGGTGCTGCTGCTACCGTGCTACAACGAGACGCCCGAGGAGCTGTCGCGGTCGCTCGACTCGCTGGTGGAGCAGGATAGCATAGACGACCACCCGCGGCTCATCTTCATCGTCGTCGACGGCAACGTGCGCGGGCCCGGCATGGCCAAGACGACGCAGAGGTCCCTACTCGAGGACATTCTGGAGCCGGGCCCGCGCCGCGTCTTCCCCAACGGGTACCGCGCGCGCGACGGCCTCTTCATGCCGGTGCAGGTGCAGACGGGCACGTACCGGGGACTGCCGTACATTTGCGTCGGCAAAAAGTACAACCAGGGCAAGCGCGACAGCCTGTGCTTTGCACGCTCCTTTCTCTACCACTACCGGCTGCGGTCCGAAAACGTCGTCACCATGTTCCACAACGACCTGTTTGCGTACCTCGGCACCGCGCTGCTGCAGCGCGGCCTCGGCACCGTCGACTACCTCGTCGGCATGGACGCCGACACCGTTTTTGACCGGCGCTGCGTGTGGGAGATGCTGCGGCAGATCCGCACCGACCCCAAGCTGGTGGGCGTGTGCGGCCACGTCTGCGTCGACTTTGACACGCGCCCGTGGAACCTCTGGTCGCTGTACCAGTCGGTCGAGTACTCACAGACGCAGGGCCTGCGCCGCATGTTCCAGTCGCGCGTGACGGGCAAGGTCAACTGCCTGCCAGGCTGTTGCCAGCTGATCCGCGTCGATGAGGCCACGTTTGGCGACGCGGTGCTGCGCCAGCGCTTCGGGTACTGCCCCAAGCCCAACGACGTCATGACACAGCACATCATGGGCAACTACTCCGAGGACAGCATCCACGCGTCCATCATCTTCAGCCTGTTCCCCAAGAAGAGGACGGCGCAGGCGCTGCGCGCCAAGGCGTTTACCATTGTGCCGCAGACGTGGAAGGTATTCTTGTCGCAGCGAAAGCGGTGGGCGCTCGGTAGCATCTCCAACGAGTTTGTCATGATTTTTCGCCCGGGCATCATCTTGGTCGAGAGGCTGCAGAGCATCGTGGCGGTACTGACCTGGGCCATCACACCGTTCATCATCGCGGCACTGGCGGAGATGATTATGCTGTTTGTGAAGCACGGGAAGGAGATTATCCAGAACCCAGTGTTTATGGCGCTGTTGTCTCTCCTCTGGGTCCGCTATGTAAGTGCAGTTGTGACGGATGCAAACGCAGACACACTGACAGTCGTTTAGATGTATTCATTCTGCATCGGTTTCTGGCTCCCGCGCAACAATTTGGAGCGATTTCAGTACTTTTTCGGCTTCTTCATCCACTTCTTCACATCGCCGTTTATGAACATCATCATCCTCGTGTACTCGCTGGTGCACTCAGACGACTTCAAATGGGGCAAGACGCGTGAGGTGATTCAAGAGGACGGGGAGACGAATACGGATGCGCAAGGCGGGCGAGGAACACATTGATGGCGGCGGGTATATAATATTTTCGGTATAATGATGATGCAAAGATGTAGATTGCGAAATCGCGGATGACGAGATTTAGACCACAGATGACATGGGGCCAGAAGCGGGTATCGCCGGCGTTTGCGGCGAGCGGCATGGTGGGGCCAGGAAAAAAGAGCCGGCGGGGTGGCCAGATTATTTTGACATGCCGCCTGATTACTACACTCACTTGATACAACCTAGAATCATCTTCCTTTTATTCCTCTCCTCCTCTCTGCTTCTCTACTTGTTTCCCTCTGCATCTGTTCCTCGCCCCAAATCACCGTCAAGATGGCCGACTCCTTCAGCCTCCCCCACGTCGGCCGCCGCCCCGCAACGGTGCTCTCCGCCACTGAGCTCATCGGCAACACCCCGTTGGTGCGTCTCAACAAGGTGCCCCAGTCGCTAGGCGTCGAGTGCGAGGTCTACGTCAAGGCCGAGCTGTTCAACGCCGGCGGCAGCGTCAAGGACCGCATCGCCCTCCGCATGGTCGAAGAGGCCGAGAAGAGCGGTCGCATCAAGCCCGGCGACACGCTGATTGAGCCCACCTCGGGCAACACGTACGTGCCACCTTGAGGGTTCACTCCAATACCCTGCTCTCCCACATCCGTACTGACACACACGTCTCTAGCGGCATCGGCCTCGCCCTCGTCGGCGCCATCAAGGGCTACAAGACCATCATCACCATGCCCGAGAAGATGTCGGCCGAAAAGGTCTCGGTCCTGCGCGCTCTCGGCGCCACCATCATCCGCACCCCGAACGAGGCCGCCTGGGACGCGCCCGAGTCGCACATTGGCGTCGCGCGCCGCCTCGAAAAGGAGATGCCCAACGCGCACATCCTCGACCAGTACGGCAACGTCGACAACCCGCGCGCGCACGAGCTCGGCACCGCCGAGGAGATCTGGGAGCAGACGGGCGGCCGCATTGACGCCATCGTCGCCGGCGCCGGCACCGGCGGCACCATTACTGGCCTCGCCCGTGGCCTCAAGAAGCACAACAAAGACATCAAGGTCGTCGCCGCCGACCCGCACGGCAGCATCCTCGCCGTGCCCGAGGCGCTCAACGACGAGCACGCCAACCAGCCGTACAAGGTGGAGGGCATCGGCTACGACTTCATCCCCGACGTTCTCGACCGCCCGCTCATCGACAAGTGGTACAAGACGGACGACCGGGAGTCGTTTGTCCTGGCGCGCCGCCTCATCGCCGAGGAGGGTCTGCTCGTCGGTGGCAGCTCCGGCTCGGCCATGGCGGCCATGCTCAAGGCCGTCAAGGACTACGGCTTCAAAAAGGGCGACGTCGTCGTCGTCGTGCTGCCTGACAGCATCCGCAGCTACCTGTCCAAGTTTGCCGACGACGACTGGCTGGCGGCCAACAACCTGCTCCCCGTCAACGGTGTCGAGACGTCCTCCGTCGCCGGCAGCACCACCCCCGCCGACCCCTACGCCGGCGCCACCATTGCCTCGCTACGCCTCAAGCCCGTCACGTCGGTTTCCGCCACGGCCGACTGCTCCGAGGCGGTGGAGACGATGCGCGACAAAGGCTTTGACCAGCTGCCCGTACTGGCCGCCTCGGGCCGCCTCGTCGGCGTCGTCACGCTCGGCAATCTTCTGAGCTTCATCTCCAGCGGCCGCGCCACCGGCCAGACGCAGGTAAAGGACGTAATGTTTGACTTTGGCCGCATGGACGAGATTGTCACGGACCCGCGCCAGACGGCGGGCGGCGCCGCTTCCACGGGCACGAAGCGCAAGTTTGTCGAGATTACGCTCGACACGTCGCTTAGCTATCTCAGCAAGTTCTTCGAATGGAATAGCGCGGCCGTGGTCACGGAGAAGAGCGCGGATAACAAGACGCTCGCGAAGCCGGTCGCAGTTGTGACCAAGGTGGACTTGCTCACCTGGATGGTCAGCAAGAAGCTTTAAGCAAAGCAAAGCAAGCCACTGTGGGTGGTTAAGAATCTCGTCTTTTCTTTTTTTGGGATTTTATCATAGATTTGCAGTTTGGCGTTTTGACTACCGGATTCAACTTGTCGTGGGAAAGACTGATGTCAAGAAATAGACTAGACACCAGGGCGAGCCTTGTAGACTCAACATCTACGGTTCGGGATATGATTAGACGATGAATAAAACGAACATTGCATGATATCAGTGCTTTGAATGATTTGGTAGTGTTACAGAGGCATTAATAATTATAGTAGTCGGCGCCAAGCCACGCAGTCGCCCTCTTTTCATACTCTCTGCGCAATCCACCACCACCACTTATCCGCATCCGGCTCCACGCTCGTGACGCTGCCGGGCAGCACCTCGACCTCAATGTCAAACTCCTGCATCTGCGCAAACGTAAACTTGTCGGAGCCGTACTCGCCCAGCCAGCCGTCCTGCTCCTCGGCCCCGAGCTCGTCAGCGCCGACGCCCGAGTCCAGCAGGCCCTTGCTGCGGCTGGTCCGAATGCGGGCCAGCTCGGCCTCGAGCACGGAGCGGACCATGGCGGCGGGCAGCGCCGTAAACAGGTCCATCTTGTTTGCGACGACGAGCACCGGCACGCTGCGGGGGTCCTTGCTGCGCGTGGCGCGCTTCTGCAGCAGCAGCAGCACGTCGTACAGGTACTGCGCGGTCGGGGCCAGCGCCTCGGGCTCGCCGAGCGCCGCGGCGTCGACGACGAACAGCACGGCGCGGAGCTTGTCGGCGCGGCGCAGCTTGCCGAGGGCGGTGCCGCGCAGCTTGCCGTGGCCGGGGGTGTCGACGAGCAGGAACTTGGTGTACGTCCCGTCGGACTCGTCGTGGTTGCGGTACGTGTTCTTCTTGGCGGCGTCGGTCGACGCGTTGAGCTCGACCGACTGCGACGACTGCGAGGTGCGCGTGGCGGGCGGGGTGCTGGTGCCGCCGCGCTCAAAGAGCGTCTGCAGAGACGTCTTGCCGCTGCCGGACGGGCCGAGGAGCAGCACGACGGGCGGCACGATGTAGGTGACGCTGCGGGAGAGGATGACGTGCAGCAGCACGGGGGCGCCGAGGACGATGAGGGCGCCGAGGATGACGACGGCCCAGGACGGCGTCATGAGGAAGTGGACGACTTCCTCTAAGGTCGGCATCGTGGGCGGCGGTAGCGTTTGTGCTGGAGGAGGTGTTGGCCGTCAGGAATGGGCAAGAGGCTGCCTGGGTTGTCGAGACAGGTTGGTTTGTCGAGATGTAGACAGGTTGTCGTCGCGGGCCTGACTTGATGAGGCTGGTCTTGTGTGTGGAGAGTTCAGTTGCGGGCCGCAAACTTGGTGCGTCTGCCCATTTTGGCGTATTCGTATAGACACCTTGTAGGTCAGGGTCGAGTTGTTCATAGGAAAAACGGGTTGGGAATTTTGTATTTATTTTGACGACGAAATAACTTAATATTTAGGTACGAATCTCAATTGTTTACTAACTTGTTACATTAATAGTATGCAGCCTCACAACGCATTGAGAGGGTGCCGCTTCATCGTGGCCCTACCCTACTCGGCGAACAATACAACCCAAGACGATGAAAGCAAAAAGGACGGGAAAATAATCAACCGAGAGAAAGAATAACCAAGGTTATAAAAATCATCCAGCCAGCTGAAGTTCTTGTGCACATTTGTGCATACCCAAGACGGCGTAGAATGATTGGTCAGTTTGTGAAACCGCCGCACGACTTCAAGGCTCACTCCGATTCCATTCCAGTTGAGTGGCCCCCTCTTTGCCCAGATACATCTCCCTTGACAATCACCTACAGTTATTCCGACCGTGCATCTGTAACGACTCCAAAGACGCCCCGGAATTGGTCATTTGGCACTATCCTTTCTACAAATCGCACCTACTTCTCCAGTACGCGCGGCCTTCCTTTAGAAAAGCGCTGCCTCGCCCAACTCATCTCTTGCAACATCCTCGTCGTCCATCTGACACCATGGCTTCTATACCTGAACTTCAAAAAAAGTACGACGAAATTGCAGCAATCCGCCAGGCTGTCAAAAGTGACTGGTCCGTATCAAACGATAGGAAGAGAGAAATTGCGCTCCCATATCGGGCGGCCGGGGACGAGCTCCGAGCCGCTTCAAAAGCCGCCGCGGCTGCCAACAAAAAGACCTGGGAGGCTGAGCATGGCAAAGGCCCAACAGAGTCTAAAGTATCAGCTACAGAGACAAACTCTGAGGAGGCCGAAACAAAGCGGGAATGAACAACAACTCTCACGCCCTTGTTAGAAAAAAACCAGGGGCCCGCGGGGAAGTGGTTGCGGTGCAACACGGATGTAGCTGTAAAGGGTACAGCTGCACTGGATGCGATCGACCTTTGCACCTCTGCAGAGAGCTCCCCGACTACACCATAATTTGACAGGCCAAAAATAGCAGCGATAATTTACCGCAAGCGCAGCGGCCTCGGGCTACCTCCAATGTCACTGCTGCCGAGTTGTGGTGACCGTCATCTCACACCTTGAGCTGGGGCATTTTGTAATTTAGTGAATAAAGATGGAGTAGTTTTGTAGACCTTGTCAGGTGCCGTGTCAGAGTATCAGAGGTGGGCTTTTCCCTTTCATCACTCGGTGCTTTTGCGTCGGCGCTCTTCAGGTCTTGTTGTTCTAAAACTTATGCGCTGTTCTGCTTCGCAGCTTTTGCTTCTCGTCGCGCGGCAATGAGTTCACTGCGAAGCGTGAGCCTTTCAATAGACATGTCTCTTCTTCTGTCATTGGAAATTGTCAAGTCGCTCTTGACCACCTGAAGCATCTGTTCAAACTCCTCATACTTGGACTCTAGTTGCGCCAGTGTAGGGATGCCAATCAGTTCAGGTTCGGGAGCGGACGAGGTTTGCGCTGGACACCGAGAGGGTCAGTAATATGAAAACATTTGCGCTACTTTGGAGGGGAACGCACCAGCTGCGGCTTCTTTTCTGGCGGCGAATAGTTCGGTGTGAACCGCTCGATGTTTACATGCGAGGACTATGCGCTTTTCTTCCGTCATGGCCGGGTCATGTTCATATTTGGCAGCCTCGAGGATCGCGGTGAGCCTTTCAAACTCGGACTCGAGTTCGGCCAATGTAGACATGATGAATCTGGAGCGAGGTCTAGTAGCAACACGGAGATGTAGCTTGTGAGAAGTCATGACGCTTGCGTCAACGCCTATTTAGCCAGCACAGTGGGTGAGTCAGACTGCTTTGACCATGTTCGATTCTTGTAGTAATACCTAGTCTTAGGAGGGTGACACGACGCAGTGTCTGTTTTTTTCTCCTCGGCCTATCCGAATGGCTGTCCGTACCTTTACCATCGTCTTATATCTTTTTTTTTTTCAATTGTGAAATCTTTTCCATTTTCATCAGATCAAGTTTGTTGCTGGTCCAGCCACTAGCCACAGCTCGCAGGTAAGGTCCCCTATTGCTGCGCCACGCTAGTCTCCATTGGGCCACCAGCCGGGAGCTCAGCCTCGCTCCCGTCATGTTGGAAACCTCCTAGCCGGGGTGCCGCGACGACTTTCCCAGCCGCAATATTTTCATTCTCATCGACACCGATCCTGTTGACGAAGGTCTCTCTGCCGATCACGTATGGCAGGCTCGGCAAGACCTAGCAGCACCTCCGCCCTCCAGCCATCGAGCAAGGCGTCCGTCGCCGCACCGCAGCTGGATAACAGCACCATGGAGATGGCAAGCATGCAAAACGAGGGCGCCGGAGCGGTGGCCGCAACAGCAGCAGCAGCAGCAGCTACGCCCGCGCCGCCTGAGGAGGACATTATGCAATTTGCTCGCACCGGCGACGTCCCTGCGATGGAAAAGCTCTTCGAATCGGGCGAGTTTGACGCCACCTATACAGACGACGAAGGCATCACGCCTTTACATGTATGCACAGACCTTTGTCTCGGCAATTCTAGCGAGCGGAACAAGACGCTAACAGCAATAGTGGGCGGCTATCAATAACCAGTACGCCATGTGCAAGTTCCTCATCGACCACGGCGCCGAGATCAACCGAAAAGGCGGCGAGTCTGTGGCCACGCCGCTGCAATGGGCCGCGCAGCGGTGCCACTACTACACGCTCAACCTGCTGCTGCAGCACGGCGCCGACCCGCTCATCACCGACTCGCAAGGCTACAACACGCTGCACATTTCGACTTTTAACGGCAACGTGCTGCTGCTCGTGCTGCTGCTGCACCAGGGCATTCCCGTCGACGTCGTCGACAGCTACGGCCACACGGCGCTCATGTGGGCCGCCTACAAGGGCTTCCCGCAGTGCGTCGACGTCTTCCTCCGATGGGGCGCCAGTGTCCACGCGACCGACGAGCAGGGCTTCACGGCGCTGCACTGGGCCCTCGTCAAGGGACACCCGGCGTGCATCCTCAAGGTTGTCGAGTATGGTGCCGACCGCTTCGCCAAGACGGACACGGGCAAGACGCCCGCCGTCACAGCGAGCGAGCTGCACACGGAAAAGGCGTGGCACAGAGCGCTCAAGGAGTGTGGCTTTGACGAGGATGGAAACCCCTCGACGCCTCCGTGGCCTGGTGCGGGCTACTTTCTCAAAGACAAGCGTGCGTTCTTGACGAAATTCCTCTTCCTCTGGCCGTTTTTGCTGGTGTGGTCTGGCTTGATGACGCTGTCGCATGCGCCCGTCTACTTTGGCATCCCGGCTGCCGTTCTCATCGGCTATGGCATCACATTTATTGCGCAGCAGGTGCTCGAATACGCGCCGTCCGACATGCGCCACTTTCATAAGACGCCCTGGATGGCTGGCATCTTTGCCGGCTCGCTCTTCCTCGTCGCCGTCAACTGGTTCTTCACCGTGCTGCCGTACACCATGTTCCGGGCCGAGTCGACGCATCTCCTGCTCAATCTCATCTTCGGCGTCTGCATATCGCTTACGACCTTTTTCTACGCCGCGTGCATGCGCTACGACCCCGGCTACGTCCCCAAGATGAACGGCATCGCCGAGCAGCGCGCCGTCATCGACGAGCTGCTCAAGACGTGGAAGTACGACGAGACCAACTTTTGCGTCACCTGCATGATCCGCACGCCGCTGCGTAGCAAGCACTGCCGTCGCTGCCAGCGCTGCGTGGCCAAGCACGACCACCACTGCCCGTGGGTCTACAACTGCGTCGGTGTCAACACGCACCGCCACTTCTTCTTCTACCTCGTGTCGCTCTCGGTCGGCATCTTCTTCTACAACTGGCTGCTGTGGGACTACTTTGCCGACCGCGCCACCGATGCCTCGGACCAGTGCAACGTGCTGAGCCCGACGCTGTGCAAGCTGGTCAACGCCGACGCGTACACGCTGCTGCTTGGCGCCTGGATCACGCTGCAGCTGACGTGGGTCTCGATGCTCGTCGCTACGCAGCTCATCCAAGTGTCCCGCGCCATGACGACCTATGAGAACATGATGGGCATCAACACTGGGCAGAATGCGTCGACGGCGTTTACCTCGACCGGCACGCCGCTCGACCCCAACCACCCCGCCATTGCTGCGGGCCCGGCCGCGGCGCCCGCCGCTGCCAAGCGCCCGAGCGGCACCCTGCGGCAGTGGAGCCGCCTGCTCGGCGTCGACCCCTTTATCGAGACCATTACCGGCCGCGGCGCGGCGACGGGCAAAAACCGCCGCAAGAAGAAGAACCCCTACAGCCGCGGCTGCCTCCTCAACTGCAAGGATTTCTGGTTTGACCCCGCGCCCATCTTTGGCCAGCGCGACAACGGCACCGCGCTGCTGGGCGGCGACAAGGTCGACTACACGGAAATGTACGAGAGCCCGACCCTGATGCAGCTGACGGGCATGCGCGCTAGAGGCGGCTACGAGGCCGTGGCCGCAGAAGAAGAGGTGTAACTGGGATTTGTCTCGGGACGCGCAGCTGTGATTATAGAGCTTGTTGGCGCATGCATTGGGAGCTCGAAGCTTTAGAATTCTTTTTTGTTTTCGTTTTCGTGTATAACGTAGAGAGGGGGAGATGTGGCTTGTATCGATTGGTGTGGTTGAAGACGAGACGATTCATGAACATTAGGTACATACATACCGCTATTGTAATACAGACAAAGATTATTCCAAGTTTGTGGCGTGTCGACATTGTGATCCGTCTAGAACACTGGACAGGGAACGAGCTGCTCCAACAAGCAAAGGTACGCAAGCTGGCCGTTGGACAGCCAAGGCATCTCTTATGCTCGGATACCTGATTCTGTCCTACTGACTACGCCATGCTGCAGTACGCGAGCCTACTCCTCAGCGTTGATAAAGCGAATAATGTTCTGCAGCCCTTCGAGGTCTCCCGCAATCGTCCCCGCGCCGTCTTCATCGACCCATCCTCGCGTGTAACCGCCACCAAAATCGATAATCCACGCATCGCCCTCGACGTCAATCAACACGTTGGCGGCCTTGGCATCGCCCCAGACAATGTCCCTGTCGTGCAGCGCACCCAAAGTCTGCTGAATCTGGCGGCTCCATCGCTGCCTGGTCTCCCTGGGCGTCTCCGGGCGGACAAGAGAGTCCAGCGTGCCCTGCTCCGCGATGCGGTGGAGCATGATGCCCTTGACGGCCCTTTGCGCATCCTGCGCGATGCCAAACAGGCGCGACGTGCGGACCGCGGGACCGAAACGCGCCTTGGCAATGTCCTCGTACTTGCGAATCTCCATCCGCCCCAGGTCCTCGCCGACCGCCTCAAGCGACTTGAAGAAATACTCTGCTCCGTGGACGCGCACAGTGGTCGGGTCGTGGTCGCGGATCCGGCTGGGCGCGTCGCTCAGCACCTCGATCTCGGACAGGGGGAAGATGGGGAAAAAAAGCCGAGGCGGGTGTGCCGTGGACGGTCGTGGCGCCAGGGGAGAGGTTGTCTGGAATGAATGGGGGCTCTGTTGGCAGGGCGTCGATTGGTCCTGGATCAAGGCGCTCGTCAACGGCCCCGAGCCGGCATTCGTACGAGACGGAGCTAAAGAAGGCGTCTAGCATGATTCTCGACGCAAGCGCTGGCTCTGGGGCTAGTTCTTTGAACGTTTCGAGAAGAGGTTGCACAGTCCACTCGAAGCAGTCATCAATGGAAATGCCCGGTTGAGCGTGGCGCGAACCATGGCTCTCGGGGCCATCGTCGTCGTCTTCCGGCCCGCCTTCGTCGAACTGCAAGAAGGAGAGGTACTGGTGAAACTCGCTCAGTCGAGCCGGGGAGTTTCGAAAGAGCGATTCGCTGACCTCCACGCTGAAGAATTTCCCATCCAGGCGCAGCCGAAGGAGAAAGCTGGCTGGCTCTTCACCGGGATTTGTGGTGGTGTAGCTGTAGATGCGATATTCGCGGTCGACTTCCATTGCCGCCGTCTTTGGAAAAGGCGCAAGATGGTTAAATTGGAATGAAATATGAGAAGAAAGGAATGCCTATTGTTGGTAGAAAGGATGAAGACGATGGAAAAAATGACAAGCTCTGATGGGCGGCACCTGGAGGAATACTTGATAGTGTGATAAAGTGTTGGTGCATGCATATGCGGGGAGCAGTGAAGATTCTCAGATGAAAGGCTGCGCCTTCGTCTCGCCATTTTACGCGCTGTGGCGCTCAAGGGCTCCCAACGGCCAACAGGTTACTACGAAAGACACATCGTTCATCTAGCCAGTGCGAGAACTTGTTTTGAAACGTGCTCATGACATTACAAACACCCGTGAGCCCAAGTCTGCGCTTAGAAAGACTATGATCGGCGCAGAGACCATGTTTTGTCTTGGTCGTTGGTGCACTACTACCTGTCGCCACGCTGCGCAGCAGAATTTAGGTTAGAATTGTTGAAGTTGTCTCTTATCTGTCGAATATTCTTTACTGGATTTCAGTCGATTACTGCGAGCATTTACCATGAAGGTTATCATTGCATTGTGCGTATTGTGTCGCTGCATATTATTCCGTGAACCAACTGCACGCTCTGTATCAAGGACTCGATCATCGTCAACTTCCTGATAATGTGTACAGAACCTAAAGTAAATAAAACAATTGCTCGCTGGAACAGAGCGCTTCGTCAAATTTGCAATGGGTCTTGACCACAACTTCCGAGACGTTGTCGACATTGGTCAATGGAAAGGTATCTCGGTCAGACCGTTGGTCACTAATTCATTCTTTTCATCATTTCATCCTTCTTTTAGAAACTCTCGGGACTTCTACAAGGTTCCCACGTCTCTAACAAAGTAACAATAAATCACAACTGTTGCGAGTGCTGCAGACATGTTGTGTGCCACCCAACACTTGTGCTCCCAACGACGACAGATTCACTAACCAACCGCTCTATTGAACAAATAATTGTCAGAGTAGCATAGGATACATTTGCGCAACTAGTTGAAAGAGCCTATATACTCCTTGTACCACATGGCACACCGTGAGCCATTACGCGCCCAACCCAGAGCCGCCCCCGACGCAGGCTTGTCCATTCGAGTGATACAGGAATCTAGGCAACAACCATGCTGAGTCTTGAGACGGCTTCGAAACACTTATAACAACCTACCAGGGCGCACATTTCTCTCTAGTGACACGTCATAGGCCTGCAGGTTCTATTTAGCGCTCTTTGACTTGTAACACGCTCCGTCCACTTATCGTCACCTCACGGCTAGACTTGCCAAGGGATAATTTCTCATTTAAGAGTGCAAACAATGTGTATTCATTTGTTCCTAATAATCCGTCGTATGCTGAGAATCCTCTCCTCCCACCCGTCACGTCCATGGCTTCGTGGCGCGCCACCCCAAACAGAATCAGAGTCACGCTCCTCCCCAAAGGGGATCCGAAAAGAGCTTATCGAGTGGACTTGAATCAAGCTCGGTCGCCCCGCCGCCAAACGCGTCGAGATCAGAGGGTTTATACGCGGCCCCAAACTCCCAAATCCACACCTCATCCTCCCGGACGAGCACGCTGTCTAGCGACACGGTCATCCAATGCTCTTCCCCCTGGCGCATTCCCCCTAGCGTGTCCTCGAGCTTCTTCTTCCAGGCGCTCTTGCTCGCCGCGTAACGGCCCTCCTGCAGCGCCTGGCGCAGCGGTATGGCACCGGACGGGCACTCGCCAGCCAGGCCCAGCACCCGATTCTTGTCGTCGATGATGACGTAGTGGACGACCGTCACGAACGCCGGGATGAGCTGGAAGTTGAAAAAGATACTCGGATCGTTTACCATGGAGTTCATGACCTGGTGCTTCTTGATGATCTGGCTAATGTCGTCCTTGTTGAGGCCAACGAAGGGTCTGAATCGGTAGCACTCGTCGCCGAGCCACACCGGGCGCGCCAAGTCGCCGACGGCGCTGCCGGGAACCTGGGTGCGGATACAAAAGTCAGACCAGTTGCGCGTCTTTATTGTGAAAGGCGGTAGATCGCCCAGGCGAGGCATCGATAAGCCGGTCCAGAAAGCCATGTCCCTTTTCCCGGAGATGGAATCGCAGGGTTCGGCGTGCAGCTTGCCCTCCTTAATCTTGATTCGGTAGCTGCTCCATGGATTTTGCAAAAAGTCCTTCAAGGTCATCTCTTGCAAGGTTGGACCACGTTGGTCCTGCGTAGAGATCATCTTGATTCGGTAGCTGCTGCATGGATTTCGCAAAAAGTCCTTCAAGGTCATGTCTTGCAAGGTTGGACCACGTTGGCCCTGCGCAGCGATCAATGCCTCGAGCACCCATTTCAGGCTATCGTTGGGTGAGAAGCCGTATTCATTCTTCTCGAATGCTGTGCCGGGGTGCACTGCTAGGGACAAACAGTGCCCGCGAAACTGTGCCAGTTTGGCATCATAGCCTGAAAAATCAGCATCACTTGCCTTGACGACGACTTTGCCCCAGGGTGTTCCGATATGCAGCGCGAACCATCTTAATTCATAAACGCCGTCGTCTCTGTCGTCGTAGTCGGTCCGCCAGAGCCAGAGGGAGTATTGAGGGTTTTCAGAAGACATGTTAGGCACTGGTGCGTTTTGAACACGGAGTGAGTGGTGTGCAGTGCGTTGCTCGCATTGGGGTTGGCAGTGTCAGCGGACTGGCCGCTTTATATAGGAGTTCATTGTGGATGCAATTGGACTGAGACGAGACAGCCACAGGTATCACAACTAAACGCCCGTCCTTCAGCACATAATCAGTCGAGGTACAGTTTTTTATGGTGATCAAGTATCAACAGAACAGGTTTCAGCTTTGCTTTGATGAGGCAACATGGCGTTTTACATGTCCAACGCAGAGCAACAAATATCCCCGAATGTCGCGCAGCCACCTAATGATGCGGAGTGTGATGTAGAAGTGTGATGTAGAAGTGTGATGTAGAAGTGATACAGGATGAACACGGCACAGAAGTGCGCAAGAAAAGAAAGTAGGTCCTGCATTCGGGCTTCCCTCTTTAGACCACACCTCGAAGCGGCATATAGACAACTCAGGCCGCTCAAGCAGACAGGCGACGGCTATTCAATCAAGAGGAGGACAAGTTGATCATACGTTCACTGCATATCCTACAATCTTCTTTAAAGAATCATCTCTTGTTCTCATTGTTCATTGATGATCTCTCTCAAAGTCGTTTCGATGATGGTCTCTTTCACAGTCGTTTCGATACTTTTCACATTCTGTATTCCCTTTGCACCCCCCTGATGAAGCCGACACACGCGCATTGGCTCCTAGAAACTTCGGCCTTGATCCAGCTTCTGATACCCGTCTGTTTTAAGCACCCGCTTTTCCAGCTCTGAGAAATTGTTGGGCAGGTCAAAGCCGACACCAAAGAGGACAAAGAGCGCCCACTTCCAGCGGAACGGGTTGATGGCGACGCAAAACGCGAACCACCAGACGAGCTCGAGGTAGGTGAAGAAGTCAAAGGCGGGCGTGGGCGAGTACGACTTGAGGAAGCGGGTCAGACCGATCCAGCGGCGCATCCAGAAGGGGGAGGGGCGGGCAAGGGGGTCAGTGATGAACATGAGCATGATGCGCGTGTAGATGCCAATGTGCCAGTTGCCGACGGTGCCGATGGCGGCGACGTAGGTGCAGTTGATGGCCGACAGGCTCGGGTGCGGCGGCGGGAACGTCTGCAGGTACCAGTTGGGCGGGCCGTACGGCGCCTCGAAGCAGTCGTCGGGGAGGAAGGACAGGCTGGGCCGCTTGAAGCCCGTGGCGAGCACGACGACGTCGGCGTCGACGACGCGGTCCCTGCCGGGCCCGCCCTTGGGCACGCCCGCCGCCCGGTGGTTGACGCGCACGCCGCGCTCCGTGAAGCCCTCGATGTCGCCGCGGATCCACTCGGCCTTGCCCTCGCGCAGCTGGCCCATGATGTCCGAGTTGACCATGGGCGTGTCGGTGAAGAGACCGACGTCCGAGGGCGCAATGTCCGCCATGTCGCGGTAGAAGAGCCGCCGGAGCAGCATCTCGGGGATCCACGACAGCACCGTCTCCTGCCCAAAGATGTTCATGCTGAGCAGCGCGTCAACGACGACGTTGCGCGGGATGATCCACTTGTCGGAGCGCGAGAGGATGGAGATTTGCGCCGCGTCTTTGGCGATGCCAAACTCGAGCGCCTCGATGGCCGACGCGCCGCCACCGATAATGGCCATTTTCTTGCCCTTGACGTCGATGCTTGCAGACGGGTCAGTTGCAGTGTTGTTCGGGAGGGGAGCGGTGGGGATACGTACTCGTCGAGCTGGGAGGAGTGGATGATTTTGCCCTGGAAGCTCTCAGCATTGTCGATTTTGGCCATTTTGGGCGCGCCGCAGGTGCCAATGGCGGCGACGAGGCCGTCGAAGCGGCCATTGGAGGGGTCGTTGATGATCCACCGGCCCTGGTTGTCCTGGTAGACCTTGTCGACCTTGAAGTTGAACTTGGTGTGCTGGTCGAGCTTGTAGAGGTTCCAGATGTGGCGGATCTGCTCGACGATTTGCGTCTTGTTGGGGTAGCCCTTTTGCCAGGTGACGGCCGGGTGGAAGCGGTACATGAGGGAGTGGATCTGCAGGCCCGAGGTGCTGTTGACGCGCTGTTTGAGTTGGTCAGCCTCGATTGATATACAGGATGGATTTGAGTCATAGTTGGAGAGAGCTGGGGTTTCAGGGTTGACTTGCAGTCCAGATGCCGCCGACGGCCTCTTCGTCGCCGGCCTCAAAGATTTGCACATTGAAGCCGTGGCCGGCGCAGTGCGCCGCGGCTGTGACACCGGTCAGACCGGCGCCGATAATGGCAATCCGGGGCCGATTGGACGCCGTCGCGTCCTTGGGCGGTTTCGGCGCGAGGGCCAAGGTGATGAGCCACTGCAGCACCTGGTACAGGAACAGCAGCGGGTGCAGCAGCGGGTTCTCGACGCCGGATTGGGAAGACATGGCGCTCAATTGGAATCGCTAAAAATGCTATAAAAATGTAGATGTAGAGAACTGGTTTCGTATCGTCGTCTTGAGTGCGTGGAATTTATGGATGAATATTGCGCATGGCATTGCATCGACAACGCGGGTTGCATCTGCAGAAAAAAAAGTCCTGACGTCACACTTCACATGTCAAAGAGGAAATGGGCACACCAGGAACCACACATGCAAGCAACGTGGTCGACAATTGTTTGCAGATAATCTGTGGCGTAGGTCATTGTGACATGTTTCTCGTATTTGATCTTGGCTCCCTGTCTTATCTCGCAGCATAAAGGAAAAGGTGCGTCTTCTTCCTTTCCGTCTGCTCCGGCCACTTTCTGCCGTTGCGCATCACAAGCTCCACACAAGCTTCACCATGGACAGTCCAGGTATGCGGCGCAAATACCGAGAGAAAATGCGAAAGAGAAAACACTGACGGGCAATGCAGCAAGTGATATCGAAGGAGTCATCAAGACGCTCTGCATGGGCAGCGCCCACGAGCAGGACGCGGCACTGAACAAGTACTTTCTGCCTGACGCCGAGTTTATCCATCCCCTGTGCTGGGTCCCGCGCTTCCGCAACATCGCGATTCCCTTTTTTGGGAGCATCGAGTCGCTGTGGCTGGTACAGTGCATTTACCGCTGGTACATTACCTTTGCGCCGCGTCTCGACATTGTCGTCGACTCGACTGGTACGTCGGGCTGGTTTCCCCTACCTACCCTGCAGCCTGTCCCTTGCTGACCGCGCATTCCAGCGTTTGACGAGAAGAACAAGCTCTTGTACGCCACGGCGCGACAGAGCTTCCGCATCTGGTTCTTCCCCATCTATGCCGTGACCGTCAAGCTCGTGACGGTGCTCAAGCTGGAGCAGCAGCAGTCGCGACTCGCGCGCGATGTGAGCGCGGAGCTCGATGCAGACGCCGGCGACACACCCAACGGGGCGTCGATGCTCAAGTACTACATTGCCAGCCAGGAGGACCTGTACCAGATGAACTACTGCCTCGAGTTTGCGGCGCCGCACGTGGCGGCCCGGCTGTGGACGCTGGTGCAGCTCTTCACGACGGCCGTGTGCGTCGTCTTGTCGGTGCTGACGCTGCCGCTGCACTTTTACCTGAACCCGGACACCAAGCGCCAAAAGGGGAAACAGTAACGGTTAATGTGGGAGAGTGCTAAATGGTAGCTATTACGTATCGAGAACTGGAATCATGGAGAAGGCGATATAGGGGTTGCATGGAGAAAATAGCTGGAGCCGTTATCGTCGAGCGTGTGCTAAAAGAGGAGCCATCTTGTGCGGGGACGATTTGCGAGAGTCAAACTATAATTTTCGTGAAACAATAAGGCAGGGGCCTGCATATGACAATTATTATATAAGAGAATGACTTTGTATTACGAGCGCTGTCATGTACTGTGCGAGGATGTTGACCCCCGACTCAACTCAACTGCAGTTGACAAATTTTGACAAATTTGACAGAAAAACGCCGCCAGCTGCCAACAACCAAACCCTCGCGCCACGCGTTTGTCTACGGCAGCCTATAGGTGAGTTGTCGCTAAAACCCATTTTGCATTGTTGTATCGGGGTTTACGCACTAGGCATACACCGAGAGCGTGTATAATTTTTTTCAGTATATCAATATTTCTGTTTAAGTGCTTAGAGCCAGCCAGGCAGCCAGCCAGGCAGCCAGCAAGCTAGCAAGTAAGTAAGCCAGCCAGCCAGCCAGCCAGCGAGGAAGTAAGTAAGCCAGCCAGCCAGCTAGCCAGCTAGCTAGCCAGCAAGGAAGCCAGCTAGCAAGCAAGCCAGCGAGGAAGTAGTAGGGCACTTATTGCTGGCTGGCTT